TCCCCACCTATCTCCAGATGGCTGGAAGGGACCCTCATCCTTGATAGTCACATGCCCAGTGTGAGGAGGGTGTTATGGGGCAGGCGGGAGGAAGGACTGTGACATCTGAATAAGCTTCTAGCAAGTGGCTTCTTCTCCAGATAAATTTGCATAGGTGGGAGGAAATGTTTCAGGTTGGCACTGGGTAACAATCCAAATGGAGAGGGAAGGCAGATAAAGGAGAAGCCAAGGCATCCAGGAAAGGGGGCACAGAGGTCTCTCAGTAGACCCCCACCCTGGGGAGCTGGAGAAGAACAGCAAGCAATTGAGCTCCAGCTTACCACAGAGCCAGCAACGAGCATGGTGTGCGAACACGGGCCATGAGCAAACATCACCCTTGTCAGTCCTTCACCCATGCACCCCCCCCCCATAGCTCCACCCTATACTCCATCTCAACATAGAAAAGTCTTGACGATGGTGCAGGTGGCACACAGTCTGAGCCTGGCCTCACTGGGAGGCTAGAGAAGGAAGCACCATGGGGGAAGGGCACATCTAGCAAGGACACTGGAAGGCTTGGGTTCTGGAGTCTGAGTGGCGCAGGCATCCATTACTGCTAGCAATGGAAAGGTTCAGTTCTTGCAAAACACAAGGCTTGGCTTTCCAGCCAGGATGCAGGCCAGCCCACTGATCTGTGTGCCTCGGGACATCTGGGGCTAGAGTGGTCACGTGTGGAGGCTCCCTTAATTAGAATCACAGTGGCCACAGAAAACAAAGCATGAAAGAACAACCTAGAGACCAAGAGCATGGAACACGAGGAGACCATCAGGCTGGAGAAGACAGTGCTGGGGCCTGGCTCAACCCCATCCTCTTAGCATCTGCTCTAGGCGGGTGAAGAGAGGCACTCCTGCCTGGAGCCAGCAGGTCGGGGCAGAGCTGGGTAATCCTATAATTACAGAGTACACTCCAGCCTCAGTCACAGGAAGAAGATGAGCACTTTAGGGGCTTCTCCATCGCCAAATCAGCATTGTTCTCAGAACAACTGAATCCTCACCCAGTGCACTCACTGCTCTTGGAAAACAGCTATGTGACTCTCACTCCAGATTCAAAGTTGAACTTTGTAGGAACTGAGGACCACTTGGTGAAAGGAACAAAAAGGTAACCCCAGGGCATGGAGCAGCCATGGATGCCTAGTTCAGAAGATACTCATGGCCTCTTGACCCCATCCATAGGTCAGTGTCTGTGACCCTGCCCATCAGAGGGAGCTTGCCAAAGAACCAGTAGTTGAAGTGTATGGAGTCTGTGTGAGGCAGCTTGTCACCTGGGGCAGTGTGAGCACTTGTTTTTCTCCTCTTTCTCCAGAGTAGGCCACTTTTGATGCAGACAGGTGTCTTTAATCAACAGGCCACTTTTGATGTGTAAATAGTGGTGGTGGATTACTTTCCCTTTTCTTTTCACCCTGTGAAGTGATCCTTATCCTAACCCCCAATTGTAAGAATTAATTAAGGAAGCACTACCTGGAAGCACTGGTAGTGTGTCTAGAAGAGGAACTGACACAGGGTCTGAAGAGCCAGGAGCAACCCAGCAGGGGCATTCCCAACACTGTGTGTGTGTGTGTGTGTGTGTGTGTGTGTGTGTGTGTGTGAGAGAGAGAGAGAGCGAGAGAGA